TACAACTTTTCACAAATGCTTTTCCCATTAAAGTAAGGAAATATCAGTCAACCTAGRGCTGACTTGAAATAAGATAGCTCWGYGTCACGGCTTACTATGAATTAAAATTTCATAGAACCCAGAATAATTCAAAAACAAATCTACCTACCTCRGCATTGTTATAAGGACTTTTCACTGTAAAAAAAAATTAGAAATTAAAAACGTAACGCTTAAGTAAAGAAATGAAATTGAAAAATTTCTAGCAATGAAATAATCTCCCTTACTTGTGGTTGCCGCTGTTGACTTGTCTTTTTCATCTGTCCCAGATGTTGACCCAGGTGTTACATGCTCAGTTTCTTTTTTCAAAGTAGTTGCCTCTTCCGTCTTGGTGGCAGTTGTTTCGGCCCCATGTGTGGTGGCTTTCGGTGTTGTTGGTTGTGCTGTTGTTGATTCAGTCGTTTTTGGCTGTGTTGTTGTTGTCTCAGGTTTAGTTATCTGGGCTGTTGTTGCCTCAGTGGTAGTTGGCTGTGTTGTAGTCGACTGTGTTGTAGTCGACTGTGTTGTAGTCGACTGTGTTGTAGTTGACTGTGTTGTAGTGTCTACGACAGCAACTGTTGTTGCAGCAACTGACCAACTAGACACTGGAGCCACAGATGAAGTGCTAGAAGGCTGAATACTCGAAGACGTCGATACTAGGGTTGGAGAAGCAGACCCAGAGTAACTTGACGTGACTGCTACTGACAAGCTTGGGCTGGCAGTTAACGTAGCAGTCACTGAAAGACTAACAGATTGAGATAGGGAAATCGTATTAGCCAGTCCAACTGTCCCATTTACCGTCTCGTTRACAGAGGTTACGTTGGGGGCTGTAGCATTCATGCTAGCATTCGAAAGCGTTTGATTAGGCTTCATTATCGTCGCGTTAAACAATGTTGCATTCGAAGATAATGAAACGTTGTTGTTACTCGTGGTCTCATTAACGCAATATAACGAAATATTTCCATTTTTCGTATCCTCGCAGTGTTTGGTCAGATTTAAAGTAGTACCATTGCATTGCAGAGTTATTCCTGTCTTGTTTTCGCTACAAACTTGAGTTAAATTCAACCACGTCGCTGTGACGTTCGAAGAATTTGTAAGGTTGAATTTTGAAGTGACGTTTGAAGTAGAATTATTACAATCCGTTGTGTTACAAAGGCCAGACGAGTTTCCTTGCGGCAAAGTTGAGTTGTTGTCTAGTCCTGCTTCTCGTTTTACGATTCTGATGGTAGATTCTTTCGAAATTCTGTTCAAAGGAGAAGAATCAACAGAGAAAACCAACAACGCAACTAAACCGACTAAAGCAAACAGTATGTTCATTTCGCTGGCTTATCTTGTTCCTTTTCAAAGTCGTTAAACTTAATAAACTCTTCCAAGAATTATTTCTAAGCGATAATAAAACAACTTAACTTAAAAAGAAGTATCTTAACTCCATTGACAACATCGCAATTTCACTTCAGATCCAAAACTTCTTCCTCTTCAGTTTTGAAGTTCCCGAGGAATGGCATGACGTCACAAGTGTGGTTTGTGTTGCGTGGACGGAGACATTTGCATACATTATAAATTATATTTTTTTAACAGGTATCTATTTTTGACCAACGTAGATATATTCACTAGCAAACAAAAAACCCTAAATAATTTCTATAAACAGAAATTTTTTTATCATTACGAATGATTTCTGATACACACATACCAAAATTAGTCTAAAAATATTCTGGAAAAAGAAAAAAAAAAAAAAGAGAAGAAAAAGGACAAAATGGTAAAAAGTCCATTTAATGTTTAAAATATTATAAAATTTTATTCACAAAAATAATTAAAAATTAATGAATAAAAATGATGGCAGTACATATTTATAAGTGAAAGTTATTTTCAATTACTATTTTTATTTTTTATTATTCTATGAGTTCACTACATTCTTTTTCTAATATGCCACAGAAGACTTCAAAATGGTGGTTAAGTCCATCTTGTGTATGTAGGCGATACTTACTGCCTAATGCTCCCACGCTAGGATCTTTACACCCGTAAAACACTCGCCGTATTCTTGAATGAACGAGAGCCATTGAACACCTGGAAAATGTAAAATGATCTGTCCATTATTTGTAGTAAATAATAATGAAAATGATTTAGAAGATGGATTATTCAAGTTTTTTATTACCAGAGAAAGAGATAGATAAGAAACTCAATGACCTTAGAACTATAAAACAAAAGAGTTAGATGTCTGTAAACTACCAGAAGTGAAGAAAGCAAGGAAAGAAAGAAAATGAAAATGTGGAAAACAGGACCCAAAATAGGAATTGAAATAGTATTAAAAAATAAAAGTAAAAAAAAAAAAAGGAATTAAAAATAAATAAAACAAAAATAAAACAAAATGGTAAAACGAAAAGTTATTTAAAAGTTCTTTTTCCCCAACTATCAATTATTGATATTCCTTTTCTGACAAATGTTTAAACATCAGTTTTGGCAACCTGTGTTTTTCTTACTCTACTAAAGAATCATGACCACTGTTGTACTTACATGATGCAAGGCTCCCTTGTTACATACAAGTCATATCCAGTACATAAATATGGTCCATTTTTGTTCTCATTCATGAATTTGTTTTCAGGATTTTTATTTGTTTTGTTAGAGTCTTCAACAACTTTTGATTTTGAGGTGTCTTCTTTACTTGTTTCTTCACAGTCCAACTGACATTTTGCTTTTTTTATTTTTATATCATTAAGATTTTCTGGTAAAGTCCAAGTTCCAGAGTCCTGTTGATATCCCATGTTCCAGGTTCCACCGGTTTGGCTTTGAGCTACGAGGTCAATAACAACCATTATTGCATGGTGTAATGGATGACCATGGCAACGAAGATCATATGCTACAGCAATGACAATGTCACTAGATGGGTCAACTACTACTGTTCCAATGGCAACCTAGAAATATTTTAAAATGTAAAATGGGAAATGGGAAATAAAAAATTAAGATGACCCATCCATATTCTTACCATTCCATTGTTTTTTCCTATAAGAGCTGATTTCCTAGCCATATCCATATATTTATATATTTTCCTAAGAGCTAAATCACCAAACAGCTCTCCAGAAAGTAGTTTTGTAATGCTAAAAATAATAACAAAAAAACGACTTTGGTAGGTGAAGAAAAAAAATAATCCCATAATAAAAAAAGGAAAAAAATAAAAAATCCAAGAAGTAAATAGTGCTTACTATTTATCCTCATGGAAATTTACAGGCCATAATTCTGATGCTTTATTGAACTGCTCTCTGGTCAGAGGTGGGTATCTTGGCACTTTGATAACAAATGGGTTTCCCAATCCTTCTGAATTTACTCCATGTATTATATCTTTTATGTTGATAATATTGTTTTTAGAAAATTTTAATTGGTCTTCGCTAACAATACGCAGTATAATTTGAAGAACTTGTTTTCCTATGAAAAGGAACAAAATATCATTAAAGACATTAATTGTGTTTTTTTCTTTGTAATTTTTTTTTTAAAAAAGAAAAGCAAAAACAAATGTTCCCATACCGGGAGTCGAACCCGGGCCGCCTGGGTGAAAGCCAGGAATCCTAACCGCTAGACCATATGGGAGAACATGTAAACATAAGGTTAATAATAAGATTTTATTCTAACACATTCATTAATTTATTCACTACTTACCTCCAGCATCCGTAGGGGGGCGCCTAATTCTTTTAAGATGTTGAAGATTATTTAATGGAAAAAATTCTTTCAGTTCACTTTATTAACAATAGAAAAATCTTGATTAATTTCGTTTGTTTTCATGTATATACATAAGCTTAGTTGCTTTCTTACCGTATGCATTTTGAAGCCAACTTTGGATCTTTTAGTTCAGCCACATAAACGGGGACTACAAGAAAGAAAGATAAACTTTTACTGGAAATCTATCTCGAAATAAAAAAAAACAAGAAAGAGGCTATATTTTTACCTGTATCTAAGTTAATGCGGGTGTATTCTTCGGAGAGAACAGCTACTGGTTTTGGAAGATTTTTTGCTGCCTTTTGAGCGCCTTGAAACTGTTCTTCATTTAAACCTAAAAAGAAAGTTATTGGATAATAAAACTACTGTATTGAATCCCCGAAGCTATCTTTTTTACCAAGTTTACCAAGGTTTTTAGCCGACTCACTTCCATAGTTCAAATCCAACTTGATTCTTTTGTTGAATCTTTCAGCGCGCTCTTCGCGCTTTTCCTCGTTAGACATTTAGAAAAAACAAAAATATTATATTCTAATAAATTCAGGTTTCAAAGAACACAGCTAAAGCAGTAGAAAATATCATAAGGGTAAAAATGAAATGAGTACTCAATCGAAGTGCATGGGAATAAAACTGTTACTATTGTGGTGATGGGTTCCCTGTGGAACAACAGGGAACTCTTGGGGGGTAGGGTGAGAAAGATAGGTTTACAACTAAACAACTAATTTCATTTGATATAAAATTCTAATCAAATGTTATTTGAATACTATTATATTGAATTAGATATTTCCTTAAATTCCTCCCGCAAGTCCTGAAATCAGATAATTTTCTTTGGATTATAGTTTATAATATTTACGAGTTTTTTGTTGATTTGGGTTGCCTGTGGTTCGCCCTTGTTACTCCGCGTTTGGCGCGTYATTTTCTAAACCACATGGGAACGATTTTCTAGCTTTTTCTGTAGTCCAGCGTTTACTTTACATCTCAATGGTTATTCAGTCAAAGTACCTTGTGTTTTCCTTGTCTGCTGTTGCCGCAGCTGTTGCTGCTGCTGTAGCCTACATGCGATGGAGAAAGAAGCAAAGAAAGGAGTACCATGTAGTAGGACACGTTAGTGGGCTGTTCATATACCCTGTTAAGTCCTGCAGGGGCATACAACTAGAAAGCACCAAGTGTCTGAGTCATGGGCTAAAACATGACAGGTGAGTAAAATAAAATTTAATAGGATTGAAATCCCAAACTCTTAAAGCATAGATATTTGAGAGTCAGGATAGACTTTCGCTCGAATTAAATACTCTTGGAAGAGACAAGAGAGGTCGACTTGTAGCAAGTCTAGAGTCAGGACTAAGGAATTCATAATATTTATGGGTGGAGGGCGGAGGTCAACCATTACTTTCTCTAGTAATCATAGCGAATATCAAAGTTACGATCTATTACCGTCAGAGAATTGTTTCAAGTCAGGAATTTGGGTCAACAATGCAGTAAATGTATAGAAACTAACCCAAATGCCATGCCTTTTTCTTTGCAAATCAACGTGAGACTGCAACCTCCGTGTATACCATTCTTGACTTCTTAACATTTGAAAATATTTTWAAACTCGAAGCAGCAATACTTTGTTATATAATCCTTAATATAAATAATATCAACACTAAAGTTCCAGAACTATTCTCTTGTATTATTAAGTTAGCAAAATCTCAACATACTTATACCAGATATGCTTCAACAATCTTGTCCCTCCACCATCTCGTACTATGGCAAATTTATGTTCCGATCTGCAACAACCAAAATATGGGAAAACATCCCAACTCCTATCAAAAACAGCAAATAATAGAACGTTTTCACATAACGTGTCATCTTATGCTTATGAGTTAGATGAATTATATAATGAACTGACACGCGCAAGTACGCTGCACGCTTTGCTGACTAAAATATAAACACAGAATACAGATGAATTAACGATAACTTTAATCTTCTTCTTTGCTCAGCTTCTTCTAGTTTTTCTTTGAAWTTTTTTGCTCGACATTGGTCAACAAATTATTGAAATATTATATATATCTCATCGAATCATTAGCATAATATAACCCGTTATGTAAAAACGTTCTAATAAGACTACAATAAATTTGATGTCAGTTACTTTTTATCTTATTAAGAACATGTATGTGCATGTATATGTATATATGTATATGCATAAGCATATATCGATATATAATTATGTCAATATTTTGTAAATAGCATATTTATGTTGTATCTCTATATATTTTCCGCCATCTTCATAAAATCCCATAGCCCCCACCCCATATAAAAATTATTAGTATATATAATTATAAATATTATTAAATATTATATGTAATTATGTTATTCATTGTTTGATAGGCGATGGGTTTTCTTGAATGCAAAAGGGAATTTTATTTCTCAGCGTGAACAACCATCACTGGCCCTGGTTACCCCATCTTTTAAATTGTCTGATGATGGTGAGGTAGAGTGCCTTTACTTGGATGCACCTAACATGGAAACACTGAAAGTGGATCTACCGCTCAACACTGAAGAATACAAAAATATTGAGTAATTGTTTATTATTTAGTTATTCATTCATTAACTTTCACCCATCTATCCATTTATTGAACTACTGTATCCACTAACTTGTCCATTTATCCATCCATTTAACATCCATCTATCTTTTCATCCATCCATTTACTCATGTATTTGTTGAACCATCCATTTATCCACGCATCCATCAACTTGAAATTCTATTCACTCATCCATCAATCCATCTTCTCATCCATCCATCGATCCAACCATCTTCTCATCCATCCATTGATCCATCCATCTTGTCATCCATCCATCCACTCATCCATGCACCCATTCATCCATCCATTTATCTATTAACCCATCTGTCCATCTATTTATTAACTCATTCATCTACTCATCCCTTCACCTGTCCATCCACTTACAGTACATTTTATTTATCCATCATCAAAAGTTAATGGATAGATATATAAATATCCATAAAGCTCAATAATATTACATCATCTTCAAAACTTTAAAACCTCTTTTTTATCCTTTCAGTGTTTTTGGAATAGTAGGTGAAGGACAATCAGCAGGTGAAGAGGCAGCAGCATGGATCTCTAAGTACCTAGACAAGCCAGGCTGTCGACTCTTGCACATGACCAAACCAAGGGTGTTACAGACAGACACAATCTGGGGTAAATACGTTGCTACACCTGATGACAAGGTTAGCTATTTAGGGTTTCCAATTCCTTTTAGTTACAATATGTAGATGATGGCTAGTAAACACTAGCGTGGACTGCGTCGGTGTTTCTAATAAAACAGTTATCTTAGAATGATAAGTTATACACCGTAGTGAAAATAGTAACTGACGTTTCGGATGTTAGTCCTTCGTCGGAGTCAATAGAAAGTAAGAGTAAGAGAGATGTTTATATAGTAGAGGAGAGAGAAAACAAACCAATAAGAAAAAAGCAAGCCATTTAACAAAGGAAAACAAAAGGATCGAAAACAACAATAGGTGGGAAATAACTTAATTATAAGCGAAGCGTTCGTTCATCCCGTGGGGATTAACGGTGCCAAGTGAATGAATTAAGCACATTTCTTTTGTTTTACGATGATTGTTGCTGCAGTGGGTTAAACACAGACCAAAAACAATAGCATTAAGCTCAGAGTGATTAGCAGAG